GCTACCAGAGCTCCTTAGGGTTGCTATAAATCAGAATCAACTCAATGGCAATGGGTTTGGTTTGGGATGTGGTAATGATATTCCAGAGGTAGAGTTCTCACCTGACACCACAGGCATATTCCATCCTGAATCTATCCCTTCTCAAGCAGAATTGGAGCCTCACAATGGGGCAAGGCCACAGGTAACCAGACCTTTCCAATACAGCTCTCCCCTCAAGTGCCAGAGCATACACACTCCCTTCACTCCACCCACATGCCTATGCAGCAGTCTTCTACCCCATTTAGAAAACGGAGAAACAGAGATCCAGAAATCAGATCAAAATCCTGTGTCTTGAGGAACAAAAGTAGAACACACAAACAAAAAGGAAAAAAAAAAAACAAGGGCCTCTCAGAAATGTCAATGTTCTATTTCTTAACTTGGGCAGTGCGTAGACGGTGTTTGTTTTGCTACTGTTATTTAAACTGTGCACATATATTTTCAGACGCTTTTCTATGTCATAGTACCTCATTTACAAAAGTGCCTTCCCATTGAAGGCTTCCAATAGCTGGTGATCCCTTCTGCTGAGGGCTTTCCATAGGTGTGTTGACAGAACTCAGGCCATTCTTGGGAGCTGAAGTGTCAGAAAAAGTTGTGAGCCAGCACAGAGAATCACAGAGTATTCAGTTTGTTAGTTTCTCTCAGCTGTTTGGCTTCTAATTGCTTTTCCTGTTCTTCACTCTGAGTAGGCAAGAAGACAAGTGTATGGCATGAATGGTGGCAGTGGTTATGTGATATGGAGTCGGTTCTGACTCATAGTGACCCTATACAGGGTTTCCAAGGTTGTAAATGTTGATGGGAGCAGAAAACCTCATCTTTCTCCCGTGGAACAGATGGTAGTTTCGAACTTCTGGCCTTGAGGTTAGCAGCCCAACTCGTAATGTTGTTGTTGCTGTTAAGTGCCGTCGAGTTAATTCTGGCCCATAGTGACCCTGTATAGGGTTTCCAAGGAGTAGCTGGTGAGCTTGAACCACCGACCTTCAATTCAAACGACTTTGCAGTCTGACGCATTAGCCCACAGAACCACACCAGGACTCCCAATTCGTAATAGGAGTACATAAACTGGAACCCAATGAGCCTTGAGTCTAAAGTATTTCCAACCAAGAATGGAATAATGGAATTCGGAGCTCCCCATCTTTATTGAGGAAGAACAAAATATTAAGAAATCCCTGGGGAAATGATTCACAGGTGTTTTTGTGAGGGGAAAAGATCACCTCAGGGAAAGGCCAGGGGGAAGACCTCTGGTCTGCACCCAGACACTGCCTTTCAGAAAAGGCCAAATTTCTCAGGCTGCATGTGGGATGGGAGAAGTGGCAAGGTTGGCAATGTCTTCCCCTGACTTCTGGCTTCAAACACACTTCAGGACAAAAGCAGCTCACACCTAAGTTCAGATATTCATCCCATACTCAGAATGTTGACCACATGATAGAGTTTTAACAGCTCCTCCCTGCTCACTGACGCTGAGTTTGCTAGCTGGAGATTTCTGGTGTTCCTTGGCCAATCAAAATTCTGTAGCATCTCCTCCACACTAGCATGAAAACTAGGAGCATCAAAGGACTTGTTGTGGTAGTAGGTAGGTGTTTTCCAGTCAATTGCTTCTCATAGCAACTCCATGAGACAGAGTGGAACTGTCCCATAGAATTTTCAAGGCAGGTTAGTAACCACAAAGTCCGCAGTTCAAATCCAACAGTCATACTCAGAAACCCTATACAGAGCCATGGTGAGTCAAAACCGACTCGACAGTAAACAACACCAACAATCTTTATGGGAGCAGACTACCAGGACGTTCTTCGAAGGAGTCACTGGGTGGGTTTGACCTTGCAACCTTTTGGTTAATAGCTGAGCACTTAACTGTTGTACTAGCAGAGCTCCTTAAGGGCTGGATAATGACCACAATGAATCATTAAATGAACACACATGGTCAAACAGGAATCCAAGCCACAGTGCCTGGGGACGTGACTCTGAACTGCTGGGTCCTATTACAAGAGTGTCCACTGAGATGGCCACTGAAAAGTCACACCAGATGTTAGAGGAACTGAGATGGCCCCCAAAGTATCTGCATGAACCTCCTAGGCAACAGGTTCTATTTTGAGGTTATTTTTTCATGATGGCTTTAGCATTGCTCCTTTCAGATTGCTGCGTAACTATGTTTCTTCATGATTCCTCCTCATCCCATAATCATAGATCCCAGACCAGCAGGGCAGAAATGTACAGTGTAGAGCAAAATGAAGGGCCAAGGAAGGAAGTCCAAAGAAGTCCCTGGGACCTCTGGCTGCCACTAATGAGACTGTTGTCCAGGCCTCCCTGTCAAAGATCAGAATTCGCTCCTCAAGGGGGGGGGTGCTTCACAATGCTGTTGTTACATGCTGTTGAGTTGGTTGCGACTCATAGCGATTCTGTATGGTGTTTCCAAGGAGCAGCTGGTATGTTTGAACTGCTTACCTTGTAGTCCAATGCTTTATCCTCCCGCGCCACACCAGGACTCCACATAGAGCCTCTTATTATTATTATTTGTCCCTTACTTAAAGACAGTTTCCTTCAATGCACTTAATCTATCATGATGCCTGAAGAGGTCAAAAGACAATACAGCAGAGACTAAGGGACTGAAAGTTTCTCATCTCCAAAGTGGAAAATGACAATAAAAGCAGGCTGGAACTGCTGTCTTAGCCAAAAACAGATGGGGGCTGGAGTGCAGTGAGGGTGGGGGTGAAAAATCAAATCTACCCCTTTCTGGTACCACCATCAAACTGAAAATCACTCAGCTTCTGCCCAGTTCCAGAGCCAATGATGGGATTTTTCCGTCATTGGAAAACTATGTCTGGGAAACAAGTTGGGACAAATTCCAATATTCCTAGTCCTTTTCTCAGGAGAGAAGTTGAATACTTTGCCTGAAAACAGACTGCCATGACTTCAAGTTCAGGTCCCTGCCCTGTAAACATGTTGTGATGAAGCAGATAGAGATATACAGGAAAAGGCCCTGTTTGTTTTCCGTGCTCCCACAGAGTGGGTAGTAGCATGTTTTCTGCTCCTTGATATCAGTTTGAGTCCAAATTGCTGTGATCCACCTCATGGTATTTTTTTCTGTGGGGTGGGGGGAGGGGTAGAGGCAAGGGTTCCTTTTCTCATACCTGATATAAATTCTGGTTCAGGGAAGTTCAATCGCTAATATTAAGTACACAGTTGATGCTCCATCTGTCCTCTCATCAGAATGAGGGCGTTGCCATAAACAAAGACAGAAATAATAGAGGAAGAGTAAAGAGGAACAAGCTACTACTTAAGGTGCAGGCGCCCCTCCCCATACACATACACATACACACACACACACACACACACACACACACACACAAGCAAACCAAGAGGGGGAATGAATGAAGCCAACATTTCTGAGCTAGAAAGCGGGTGGGGGTGATAGTGTTTCCAAATCTGCCTTTCATGGACTCAGAGAGAGGGTCCCATATGGTCAATGAGTTATCTGGTCTAGCCAGAATGAGGCTGAAGTCTGCCGCATAAGGCTTGACCCCTGGCCGCAGCAGTGTCAAGGGGACTTCATTGCTTTCACCCTCTCACTTAAAACAAGAACTGTACTCCCTGACCAAAAAGGCTGCCTAAAGTAAAAGCTTCCTATTAGACATATAGCAAGCCCCAAACCTCTGTAAAGGACAGCAGCAGAACCAGATTCAAGTAACTGTCACTTTTTTAAGTGCAAAAATAAAGAGCTATCTGTCTCCTCTCTCATCCCCTCCCCAAGCACACAGACAGGTAACATTCACATACTCACCTGTGCCCCAGTGGTTTCCTAACGCTGAGCCGCTCAAGGCAAACAAGGAGTGTCATTGGCTTATTCGGGTGAGCTCCTCAGTGGCTGCTGCCATAGGATACAGGCTTTATTTAACTTAACCTAATCCTTTCTGCTTTCCTAGCCCAGACCCTGCACCCCCTCCAGAGAAAATCTCCCTGGGGTATCAATCTCCAAGGCCCGGAAGTTCCTTCCTGGGACTGACATCTCTCTTAGCCCTGTGGAGAGCCAGCTTGAGAAGCCTTAGCCTGCACTCCAGCAGTGGTGGCCACTCCAGCAAAGATGCATTCTTTATCCTGACTGCTATTTCAATTGATGGAGGTATACATCCACAGTTCACCAATGGTCTCAGCAACAGCAAGCGGGAAAATAAACGACTGCCAGCTATATGGGAATGTTGTCTCAGATTCTAGTTCTAGCTGCTAGCTCAGCCTGTGTGCGACTTGAACTGAGGCCCTAAAGCAGCCCCAGGCTCTGCTCAGCACCACCTGTCAGTTCTCCACCCTGGGGGTTGCTTAGCAAGCAGGCAAGCAGCGATCTCCAAGCACTAGCTGGACCTCTGGCTCCACCTAATGGCAAGACAACCACACACCCCTTTCACAGATGGACAAACTGAGCTCCTGGAAGACCCTCAAAGAGCTCAAAGGGAAGAAACTGATTCAGCAAAGGAAACTAATGGTCGTCTGCACTACCTCCCACACTGTAATTTTCTTCCTCTGCCTTCTGAGAAAAAGGAAGGTGATGTCAACTTTTTAGTTAGCATGTTGGATTTCTCCATCCCTTTGTCTGTGAATAGCACTTCTCACACATTATTCAAACAATCTCCTCGGATGGGTGAGTCACTAGCACGTCTTCTGAATAATGGGGAACAAACTCACAGACCTGAAATGTATCTGACAGACAGCGGCACAAATGGTACCTGACGCCCAGTTCCAGGTTCCAGCCGAAATCTCTAAACTAACTGTGCCTCGTTTCCCAGTCACTTTCATTCCGTTAAAGCACTTCTGCGTGAGGTGGGGAAAACTTAAGTCTCTGGCAGGGCTTGCTAAGGGAGGATCTGCGCTTACCTTTAAATCAGGAGGCTTGCTCCGGGGTCCTGGGTTGGGCGCCGCGGCCGCACCTGCATCTGAAGTTAGCCCGCCTGCAGAGTTAGCGCCGGCGCCTTCCCCAGGGCGGAGGTCCGCACCCGGCAGGTGGCAAACGGCATCTTCCAGACCAGCTCCATCCTCCTCGCCTGGCTGTTGCTGCAGCTCGTCCGATTTGCACCTCTTCATGTTGTATGTGGGTCGGCAAGGGGAATCTGTCCTTCCAGCGCACCGCCTTGGGGGAGACCGCACCCCCTCTTACCCTCCGGAATGAAGTCGAGGGGCTAAATTATTAACAATGAGGTGAGTAGGCAGCTCATAATTTCTTAAATTAAAAACATAAAAATAAAGGAGGGCAAGGGAGGGGCAAGGAAGGAAAGCATTGGTTACAGCTTGAAATAGTTCATTATGGCCTGGGGAGCCGAAGACAGGTCACGGTCACGATTGGGCAGCAGAAGTCCTTGGGCAGTCATTGGAGGGGGTGGAAAAGAAAGCCCCGATCCCCAAACTTTCTGCTTTAGGGCATGGGTAGGGTGGAGGGGAGCTGGGCGGCACAGCGCATCCCTCCTGGCTGGCTCGGCCGCTGGACAAGGCAGGGCATGGGGCAGCCAGCTCGGCAGCGCCTCGCCGGCGCCTTCCGTGCGGACTGCAGCCCCCAGCCCTGCCGCGTGGCCCCCGCCCCGCATGGGCCAGCCTCAGAGCCGGCAGCTCGACGGGCCCCCCGGCCCCGCCTGCCTAGCTGGCTGCTGCAAAACCGCCGCTGCCGCGGCCCTAGCCCAGAGGCGAGCGCGCAACCTACCCCGCCCTCCAGTCTGCCTCTGCCGGGGAGGGGAAGGCGAGGCAAGGGGGGAGTGACAACGGTAATAAGCCAATGGGAAGCGAGGAGGGATGAGGGGGCGTTGCTTCGCGACATTTTTAGGGTTGGTTGCACTGTGCGATCCCCCTTGGAGAGGTTTGGAGGGCGATGTTGCTGCGTTTTAGTATTGCAGAGAGCAGGTTGCGGGAGTTGGGGCTGGGGTGGCAGGCGGTGGGGGACACGGCTTTAGCGGATGCATGAGGGACCCTCCCAATGAAAGCTCTCCCGGGATTTCTCCCACTCATTCAATGCTTTATGCAGGGATAGGGCATAATGGGGATGTTTATCATCACTAATATTTTGCTCTAACTTTCCACCTTTTGTACGTCCCTTCAATGAGAGAGACACGGATCCCTTCCAGGATACTTAGTCTGAGCCAAGCCTATACTTGCATTACGAGCTGCAAATGCAAAAGGGTATTCTGCCCCGTCGCCCCCGCTCCACTTCAAGTATTAATCTCATCTGAATCCTTATTTAGCTCTATGGAAGGTATTTCATATTTATAAGCATAATAAGTGTAAGAACACTTCGCTGAGGCATCATTTAAATGTATCATAAAACCTATCATAGAGACAATTCCGACTCATGGAGACTCTGTATCCTATTATTTGTTAAGTGCCGTGGAGCTGGTTCCAACTCATAACGACCGTGTATAGGGTTTCCAAGGAGAGGCTGGTGAGTTTAAACCACCGACTTTGTGGTTCAGATCACAGGGTCTCCAAGGGGAGGCTGGTGAGTTTGAACCACAGACTTTGTGGTTCAGATCGACCTTGGGGTCCAGTGTTTATCCTACTGTGCCACATCAGGATTCCTATCATTACCATAGCATAAGGAGTTGTTAATGGCAGGAAGTTGATACTTACAGGAGAGTAGGAAAGGAATGCTATGTCTTTTCTCATAACCCTCAGCCAAATTGCACTGAGTAATCTGGAGGAAGAGAGCAAAATGTTTGGGTCCCCAAGATATAAAGCCTAGGAATAACAGAACACTGCTTGAGGGCCTACTGTAGGCCTACAGATAAGACGGGTTTGTCCATCCAGCTTTCTTAAGACTAGTGGTTTTCAGAACGTGGTTCCAAGACCCAAAGCACCTTCATCATCTGGCAATTTGACAGAAATGCATTTTCTTGGCCTCTACTCAAATCTACTGAATCAAAAGTAGTGGACCCAGAAATCTGCATCTTAACAAACTTTCCATGTCGTTCTAATGATGCATGCTAAAATTTGTGAATAATTTGGTCTAGACTGTAGTGAAGGGGCCACTCCATTTCTGAGTCACAGAGATCCTGTCTAAAGGATTTTACAGTTTACCCATCTCTTTCACACTCAAAGTGCCACTCTAGCTTCACTTAAGTCCTCCTAGTCTGTGAGCTTCCTGGCTCACTGTTATTCTTTCCGTTCCAACCACTCATTTTCATGTGTGTCCTAAAAGACATTAAGTTGTTAAGAATTTACATCAGTTAAAGCAGCCACTTTCTAAACTAGGCAGCTCCAGTTTTAGAAGACAGGAATTTAGGATGGCATACTGGTTTTGCGCTGTGGGTTAATACGCTGACTGCAAAGTTGGTTTGAACCACGAACAAGATTGGCGGTTCAAGCTCACCAGCTGCTCCTTGGAAACCTTGTACAGTATCGCTATGGGTTGGAACTGATTTGACAGCGCTTAACAACAGCAACAACAACCTCTGCACAGTATCAGGCACAATGTGAAAACACAAAGCCCATTATTTTATGATGAGGTTTGCAGGTCTAGAGAAACAATGGAGGCAGAGTCTCATGGTACCAGTCGAATAGTAGAGGACTATAGTGCCCCCTGCCTAATTTGCCCCAAACCAAACCAAACTAAACCAAACCCACTGCCATTAAGTCCATTCTGAGTCATGTTGTTGGTGTTAAGTGCCATCGAGTCAATTCTGACTCACAGTGTATTAACCCACAGCACCACACCAGTACTCCTTTCTGGCTCATAGCGAGCCTGTATAGGATTTTGTTAAGTGCTGTCAAATAGATTCCGACCCATAGCAACCCTGTACAGGGTTTCTGAGGCTGTAAATCTTTACGGGAGCAGAAAGCCTCATCTTTCTCCCATGGAACTGCTGGTAGTTTTGAACTGCTGACAAGATTCGCAGCCCGATTCATTACCACTACGCTACCAGAGCTCCTTGTGGTTAGCAACCCAACACCTAACCCACAGCACCACTTATCTAGAGAAGTGTAAAAGTGCAGAATTCCCACAGACCTTGGGCAAGATTTGAGAGCAAATGGTGCTGACATATGTTCACAACCTGGCTCTAAACTGAAGAAAAGTAACAGCATTAGGTGTGAATCTTTAAGTAGAATAAATCATTATTATTATGAATTATTATTCATTTTAATACTAAGTTGAAGTTGGTCCTCAGTTTGATTTTTATGTTTTTATATACATATAGCACAATAGCCAAATTTCCAACTTGTGACCATATTTAGCAAGGTGTGATTCAACCTATGAAAAAATCTATGATATGTTTCATGAATCAGCTAATTTTTTTTATATTCCATTTTGGAAAAGCAGCATAGTATAGTGGGTAAGAATTCAGGCTCTGTGGACAGACAACTTAGAGACTAAATAAATTTAGCTCTGCTTTCTACTGACCAGGGACAAGTTACCTAACCTCTCTATGCTCCAGTTTTCTCACTTGAAAAGTTAGGGTAACAGAACCCGCTTCACAGAGATGTTGGATAATATATGACTATGTAAAACACTTATAGGACTCCTGGTGTGGTGCTGTAGGATCAGGACTGGACTGCAAAACACAAGGTTGGCAGTTCAAACCAGCTGCTCCTCCAAAACCCTATACCAGGTCGCTATGAGTCAGAACAGACTCGACGTCACTTAACAGAAAACTTAACAGCAACAAAGCTCTTAGAACATTGCCTGGAACACAGTAAGAGCCATGCCTATTCTGAAGATTCCCTCCATTTTCAAAAGGGCTGCACATTTCACTTCAGTGTTTATTCTTAGTGTTCAAATGTGCCCCATACATTTCTGATGTCCATCAAATATCATTATATAAGGAGCCCTGGTGGTGCAGTGGTCAAGTGCTTGGCTACTAACCAAAAGGTTGGTGGCCTGACCCCAGCAGTCACCAAGTAGGAGACCGATGAGGCCATCTGCTTTCATAAAGATGACAGCCTCAGAAGCCCTATGAGGCAGATCTTCTCTGTCCTTTAGGGTCACTTACAAGAGTTAGAATGGACTTGACAGCAATGGTCATCGTATTGTAGAACAAATACTCTGTTGCCAAAGAAGCTTGAGTGAGAAATCTCTGTAGATACCTATGTGACCCACAACCAATTGTTTGAGGCAAATTTTCATTAGCCATAGTATCTTCTTGAGTACCTACAATAAGTAGACCCAAAAGTGCTTTGGCTAATAGAAATTTTGTTTAAAGGGATGGAATGTTCTACTGGTCTAAGCTTCTTTGGGGAAAATAGAGACACATACCATGTTTTCCTGCTCAAGATAAGACAAAAATTTGAAGATTTACAATGCAACAAATGATATTTAGCATGTAGGAGTAGCCTTTTTTATTTTGTGTTGGTATACCTAGTTAATCACAGATAAATAACATGGTGTAGTCTGTTGAACACTGGTCTTTGGTGTCAGAAAAGCCATGTAAGAATTTCAATTCTGTTACTTCTCATGTATTCTTGGGCAACTGAATCACTTACCATCTCTCACCCTTGGTTTTCTCATCTGTTACCGCTGTTGTTAAGGAGCTCTGGTAGCGTAGTGGTTACCACTCGGCTGTGAACCGCAAGGTCAGCAGTTCAAAACTACCAGCTGCTCCGCGGGAGAAAGATGAGGCTTTCTACTCCCGTAAAGATTTACACCCTCGGAAACCCTGTACAGGGTCGCTATGAGTCGGTTCCGACTCCACGGCATACAACAACAACAACCGCTGTTGTTGTTAAGTACCTTTGGTTTGATTTTGACTTATAGCAATGCTGTATAGGGTTTCCGAGGAGTGGTTAGTGGATTTGAACTGCCACCTTGCAGTTCAAACCAACCTTGCAGTCTAGTGCTTATACAGTACCACACCAGGGTACATATAGCTGATAATACCTCTCCTCACTCAGGTAGCTAATTCCAGTGAACACTCTTAACACAAAGTATGTGTTCAGTAAACCTGAGTAAAACAGTTAACAGGCTTTTCTAGGTGCCCTGTCAGAGTCAGAATTGTCCCACTAACCTTAGTACTTGCTGTGAAGAGAGGATTCCAGTAAATTTTTTTCACATGTTTTATTGTGAGTTATATATTTTACATGAGAGAACTTTAGTTTTACTTTCATTCCACCGTATATCGTTTCATTGCCATGGTTCCAAAGATTCCAGTAAATTTAATGAAAATTGGGCACTCCTGGCAGCATCAGATTTGCTAAACCAGTGAGTATATCAACAAGGAGGATAAAGTGCAGAT